CATACAAAGTGAAATAAGCCAATCCCCAAAGACCCAAAGGTTGAATGTTCTCTCTGATATGTGGATACTAACACACAATAAGTGTGTGGAGGGGATAGAAGTTCAGTGGATTAGACAAAGGGAAAGGAAGGAAAGGGAGTGGGGATCATAATAGGAAAGACAGTATAATGAATTGGACATAACTTTCCTATGTGCACATATATGAATACGCCACCCATGAAACTCCATATCATGAACAGCCACAAGAATAGGATCCTATTTAGAATGTTATACTCCATGTATGTATAATTTGTCAAAATACACTCTACAGTCATGTATATCTAAAGAGAACAAATAATTTAAAAATCTAAACATATAACTACCATACCAAAAATATTTTTTTTGAAAAATAATGTTGGAGTCAGATCTCAGTATGCCCCAGGAGTACTAGTTCAAAGTTTGTCTTGAGAAATGATGGCTGGTATTCTAAAAAAAAAACAGCAAAATTTTGCTAATTCAAAACAGCAGAAATCTGGGGAATGTATGTGGGAATTTATTATAGTACTTTCAGAATAAGGAGGATGGATATAATATTGGTTGTCTCAAATTAATCAATATGGTTATACTTAGAAGGTTTACTTTGTAGTAATATTTTGAGTATCTGTGAATAACTTGTTTGGTAGATTAAATGAAACCATAACTCAAAGGTGGCCCTAGGTTCAATGAGATTGAGATGCTAGAACCTTCTTGTCATACAATAGGGAAAGAAAAAGTTTTAAAAATCAAAAGATTGCTAAAGTTGATTTCTCATATGTTGCCTGCCACATATGCACCTCCACCAGATTATCCAAGAGAGCCCAGATGACACTCCCTTAAGAAATAGTCAAGAAATTAATGAAGGGAATGACAGCATTGCTAAAAAGTTTTGTGATAGTTAATGGTTAGAGATACTGCCACTGAGGTGAACTTCTGATTTCAAGGAAAATGATTYGATTCCAGAATGACAGAAGACTCATGACACTTAAATACCAGAGACAAAGTGTCCTAGTCAAGTTAGTGTTTGCAAATACTATTTTATAAGTTACATTTTGACCTAATCCCCAAATCCATCTTCTAATGGGATTCAGTTTGTCTAGGATTCACACAATGGTTATTTCTCTAGATCTGAATGTATAACTGGAATTACAGTAAAGAAGAATGAGGATTAGACACACATGGATTTTTGTGGTGATCATGGTTTCCTGAAGAATTAGAATGTTGTCTATGTGATTACTACTGGCTCACTAATATGAAGCCAGAAAGATGCCACAGTAGAAAGTCTTGGCCTCTTACCTAGTCCTCAGACTGARGTCAGTTCATACATCTAGAAGTCTTTGTCTGAAGGGGAGGCTGGGTCTCCTGAGGAAAAATTCTRCAAGACTTCCACAAGCATATATACTACATCTTTAAAGGACTTGCATCCATTTACCAGGATGAATATACATTGAGAAAAAGGAAATACTCTAGACCTTCAAGAATTACCAGAAATTGACTCCAAATTAACACTAAGCCCTAAGATCCCCAAACATCCCAAGTGTCAACTGATTAAAGCTAGGACTTATTGATGTCAGGTGATAAATGCTATTTTGGTCCAAGGTTATATTATAGGACTTAGCAATGGTTATTTCTGATCCCTGAATGTTTACTTGGAATAGACAACATCCAACAACTAACAGAATCCTCACATTTGTTCTCCAAATTGGGGACTGACAACTATTATGAAAGAAAGGACCAAATAGAAACTTCTAAATTTCCYACTTGCCAAAATGGTAAAAATTAAACAAGCAGATAAAAAAATTGAAACAGAAAATCCCAAATAGATTAGATATGAAAATATATAAAGGATACAGAGAAAGTAATCCTATCACACTTACCTAATCTCCTGTTTTGTCCTCATAGAAGGGATACGTCTCAGTAAGATTAATGTGATTCTGTTTGCAGCAGCCACTCCAGGTGTGGAATCCTTATGGGACTAGATTGACATAGTCCTCTTATTCTTGGCCATTGGTCTGTTATGTGTTGTTTTCTCTATAAGAGWATACAGGACTTTACCCATCAGGAACAGCAGTATATTTTCACCGCCTTGCCTTAGAGCAAAAGAAGCTCTCCTTTTCTCTATTATAATCTGATATGCAGTTGATTGTATTGACATATAACAGAACATCACACATATGCACTACATTGATTATGATCATCATGGTAATTGGGCTTGATTAATCAGAAGTACCCTTAGATRCCTTGGTAAGACTCATCTGTGTCAGAGTATGGGACATAAAAATTCCAAGTTTACATACCTTCGTAAATTTTTAGCAGTCCAGTGGTTCTAAGAATTAGGTAAATTCTGTAACTAATTAGGTAAATTGCTGTAACTTGTGCCACAAGCCACTAAGTAAGAGGCACTATGTTGAYTGGACCTTTTTACATTTTTGAAACAATCTTTACTACATTTGCATGTGCTTGTCTTATAAATTAATTTGTGTGTGTGTTGCTCTTAGGTATTAATTGAGCCATTACCTGCCAGAATGAATTTCAGAAAAAGAAAAGGCTTTGCAGGCTTTTTAAAAATATTGTGGCAAGTTGTAATAGTAGAATAACAGTATAGATCCCTTGAGTTTTGGAACAAAACCCTGCTCTGAATTAAAGTTTGTTATTCTTTGAGAAACAGTTCCTGTGTGTATTTATTTATTTGGGGCAGTGCTGAGGATAGAACTCAGGGGTGCTCGACCACTGAGCTACATTCCCCAACCCTTTCTATTTTTGATTTGAGATAGGTTCTCACAGAGTTGCCCTGGCTGTCCTTGTGATCCTCCTGACTCAGCCTCCTTAGTAGTTGGGATTGTAGGTATACACCACTGCACCTGGTGTGTTTACCTTCTTTTAAYTGATAAAACCATACACATGATTTTTGTGCTTGTCTGTTTATATGTTGCATTTTTTGAATGTTTAGTTAAAAAGATTCAGATGGGAAAAACAGAGGTCCAAAAATAGCAAAAGGTCAAATACACAATAAAGAATATGTTTGGGAGAGTATCCCTGATTTTTAAAATAAAGTTATATTAATTAAAATAGCTTGGTTTTGGGGCTGGAATAGACAATTCAATAAAACAGAATATTATACCTGTCATCCAACCCATGAGCATGTAGAGATTTAGTATAGCAATATAAATTAATGAGAAAAAACTAATTAATAAATAATATTGAGACAATTGCCTTTTATACTGGGGAAAAATATAAACTTAGATTCCAACCTTATTCATGAGGAAAAATGAGTTTTATATGATCAGAAACAKATGTAGAAAACAAAATTTTAAAAATTTTCAAAGTAAATATAGAGCATACCTTTTGACCTCAGCATAAGTGATTATTTTCTAAAAGATACACCAAGTAAGCACAAACCATAGAGGAGATGATTCCTTTATTTGACTGCCTCAAAGTTAAAAGCATTAGTATGTCTAAACTCACCAAAAGTTAAACTAAAAGATAAGAAACAGATTGGGGAAAGATATYTGCAGCATCAACAAAATTTTACAAATAAATAAGAAACAGACAACTCTTCCCAACTAAAGAATGGAATATGGACATGAAAAAGCTATTCACAGAAGACTAAAAGATAAATACATAGTAAATACATGAAAATATATTTAACCTCACTAATAATTAGGGAACTATAAATTAAAATATTAAGTTACCATTTTATTGATGAGATTGGAGAAATCATAAATTAAYAATATCAGTATTGATATGGATAAATGATAGATACTCTCATTGTTAGAATGTAAATTGGTATGGGACACTTATGGAGCAATTTGGCAATAACTTTTAAAACTGAAAATGCATATTTTATATAATACACTAATTCCACTTTATTTACTTTAGAGAAATGTTTGCAAATGTGCACAAGAAGATGTGTATAAGGATATTTGTTGCAGCATTATTTTGATATYAAAATACTGGAAATAACCTAAATATTCATCAATAGAGGAATGTTAAGAAAATTGTGGTGCTTTCACATTATATTATACTCTATAGCAGTTAAAAGGAATAAAGTACATTTCTTTATATACAGAAGTTAGATCTCAATGTTGAATAAATAAAAGCAATTTGAAGAAGCATACATGTACAGCCAGGTGCAGTGTAGCAYGTCTATAATCCCAGCGGCTTAGGAGACTKAGGCAGGAGGATTTCGAGTTCAAAGCCAGCCTCAGCAATGGCAAGGCACTAAGCAACTCAGTGAAAGTTGTCTCTAAATAAAATACAAATAAGGCTGGAAATATGGCTCAGTGGTCGAGTGCCCCTGAGTTCAATCCTTAGTACCAAAAAAAAGAAAGAAGAAGAAGAAGGATACACGTACTATTTCTGTTTTGTACACGTACATTTTTGTGTGTACTTTAAATAGTCATGATTTCTGAATGTTGGAAACACAGATGTTAGCTTTGTCATCTTCTATATTTTTCTGTAATTATTTTTTTTCTCAAAATAGAACAACACAATAAAGAATAAGTTAGGGAGGAGTTGTTAATTATGACATGTTCAAGTCAGGTTAGATAAGAACAGAACATCATGTTGAATTCAAGCAATTAACAAGTCAGTAATAAATATTTGTTTAACATTTACTAAGTGCAAGRTATTTGATATGTCACAGAATGGGGAAGTTGAGTATAAGCCTCACCTAGACAAGATGGAGCTTTCCTAATTTTGCTGCTGCTGCTTTTACATACTTGATAATGATAATGGTGCTGATAGCCAGTTCTTATAGGCACACAGGCTGAGGACTCAGGAGGCTGAGGCAGGAGTCTGAGACTAGTTAACTCAGTGAGACCCTGACAAAAAAATAAAATTTAAAAAGGGGATGAGGATGTAGACCAGTGGTAGAGAGCCCTAAATTCAATCCTCAGTTTTTTCAATCCAAAAAGTAGTCATTGTTCTTTCTACATAAAAATCTTAAATCTCCTGTGACTACTAATTACAATCTTTCTATTTAGGTAGGGGTTTTGGATCGGCAGAGGACATTGGCCTTGCTGGAAACATTCTATGATAGACTTAAACGAAGGCGTAAGCATTTACTCGGAAACCCAAGACAATGTAAGTGCCGCTCAGAGGGAGGAGCATGCTCAAGCTGAAGTGTCCTAGTCCACTGACAGGAAAACATAAGATTATTCTACCCCTGTGGAATGCCTTTACATAACATTTCTCTTAAGTCCTAATGGCTATATTTATTTGCTCATTCTCCCACAAAATTTACTCCTCATTACAACTAGATGTATTTTTCGGCATGGTACAGTACTCAATGTTGTCAGAACTCAGCTAGAACTCAATTTTCAATTCATTTAAATAAAGAGAGGCTTTAGTGACAATTTGAATGTCTTGGAAATTAATTTGATATTGGTTATCCTATTTTAATGCCCAACTTAAAATGCTAACATTTCTAGAAAAATAGTTTATTCTCCCATGCATTTTACTTGTATACCTTTCATATACTTATGTGGTAAAATAGTCTTTTTATATTTCTACAAAAATGAATTGAGTTTTACTTGTATTTTTAAAGAGAAAATCTTTTCATAACTGGGTTTTCCAAATGATATCAATTTTTTATTTGGGTGAAGATTTACTACTTGAATGCTTAAAAAAATCTATGGGTGATATACATAGAATATTTCTAAAAATTGTGAGAATCACAATTTTATAGCTTAATTACTATCCTGAAGGGGATGGTTATGGTTTGAGTTCTACTTCCTGCAGTCCGGAAAACCAAGTTTTTGTGTGTATGTGGTTTTTTTTTTTTTTTAAGAATTTGTCATTATTATTTTTTAATCTTTATTTATTTATTTGTTATGTGGTGCTGAGAATCGAACCCATTGCCTCATATGTGCAAGGCAAGTGCTCTACCACTGAGCTACGGCCCCAGCCCCTGAAAACCAAATTTTTGTTGTTGGGTTTTCTTTTTCTTTCTTTCTCTCCTTTTTTCTTTCTTTCTTCTTTTTAGTACCAGGAATTAAACT